ATATCTATTCATTAATCATGACAATAAGAGATTTGGTCTTGCAAGACACCCAGTTACTGGGAGCACTCTTCAGGATGTATGTTCAGAAAAAGAAATGCATTCATCACTTTTCAGCCAATGTAATAATGCTAATAATAAGGAGCATGACTGACAGCTGTACCAAACTGGCCTGATTTATGCTCAGTTACAGGCATGGAGAAGTTTTGTGGGTGAAAATCCGGAGATAGTCTTACTCTACTAATAAAAAATATGACTTCTGTTTTATATATATATATATGCGCATGTATACATGTATTCTTCACGTATCTTGTTTGCTAGTCAGTATGTAAAGCTAACTGTTTTCTCTACTGGTCTAGTTAATTAAATGTTGTACCTCTTTCTCACCTGTCCAGTGCCTTCATGAATGCTAACATTCCACTACTACAGTTATATTGAATATATCCTCATTACTGCCTGTCTCAGCAAGTGAAGACTAGGCCCATTATTAAAGAGTCAAGGTTCGTTAACACGGAAGTTTAGTTCCTTCAGGTCTTCAACAGTTGCTCCAGAGTACCTCATTCACTCAGAAATTAAAGGGAACTGCCAGAGCCAGAATAATATAATACAATGAAAGAATTAAATTGTTGCCATGGAAAGAAAAATAATTTCTCTTGTAAATGTGGAAAATTTATTTTTATCCCTAACAATAATTGATTACGCTTTTTTTAAAATAGTGCACAGATGAAGACTGTAGATCAGAAGCTCAGAAAATTTGTTTTTACAGTATTTTACACTATTTAAGATACAGTGATCTGAGATCAGCATGCTGCCTTGTGTTTCTTTGCCCATTAATTGTTCTCCCTATCCACTGAATCCATTACACATACCACAAGCCGGACAGTTTTCAGAAATTGGTCAAGTTCTATTCTTAAGCCTCTCATTCAACTTACTACTCTGTTTCTCTTGTAACTCAAATAGATAATTTACATAGTTCTTGCTTATTGCTTACAAAAAAGCATACACACGATTTTAATTATATGGCTAAAATAACATTGGCAAGTTTAAAACGTACATGAAAAACACACAAACAATAGTAGTACAATCCCTCCACGCCCAAGCATTTCTCATATGGTAACATTTATATTGGAATAAAAATCAGCTGTAAACTCACAATACCAATAACTGACATGTAGTCCACTTGCAAAACTAATTTAAATGTATTTTAAATGTAGACACCATCTCATTTAAAAGAATTCAAAATTGTTTTAAACTGATTTGTTTGGTTTATTAAATCTCATTATATAAAACATCTGCACTCAGTCAAATGCCCCAATCCTCCTTTGTGTGAGATATGGACTGTGGAATCTGCCTATGCATGATTGGCGTGTAAAGCATTAATTGGCTTTGTAAAAGCAAATTAAATACAAATTAAAAGGTGGAGTTAGAGTTACTCATTCTTTTTGGAAGGTGAGAAAAAGGAAAAAATAGAAAATCTGCCTATTATTTAAATTTGTATTTAATTACTGAAAAATAGTAGCAACAGCACTGCATTGCCTCTATGATCTACCAGTACACTTACACTACAGTGAAGTTGAAATACATGGTAACTATACCTGCAAAAGTTGGTGGGAATCACAACAGCATACCCAACACACGTTCCTCCCAAGCAGTTTCCTAGCTCATGGAAAAGTCCATGAGCCATGGACTCCAGAGGTAAAACAATGAGAAATGCACTCATGAAGATCCCATTGGTTGGCTAAAAAGAAAACAGAGAGGTTTAGGTATTGCATGAAATATTCTTCCTATCTGTTGGTTACATTTTTATGAATAATTCCCTGGTTTTGAACAAACATAACTGGGTCCTGAAACATGCAAGTTATTATACATAACACATACTTGTTTTTCCACATATTACAAGGTGAAATACTCTAAAGACAAACGAAAGGCTTGGGAGAAGGTGGCTGGTAAGCCTCTTCTGAAAAGAACGCATGTGAAAGCGCTAACAGCACAGGACTTAGGTTTAAAAGCCCTGATCACAGCTTAGCTCTACCCGTTTAAGCAGGAAAATCAAATGCAAAATATTTATTTACATAAAATAAGTACATCTGTAAATATCTGCAGGATCAGGCCTTAATCAGTAAAATACAATACAGAATATTATGTCCCTAGCATCAGATAATAGCCTACTATCATTAAAAAAATAGATCTAACTAATCTTGCCTTTTAACAACAAGAGTTTTTAAAATATTATTTGTGGAATACTATGTATCATACAAAAGATGACTTGTGAGAACACTTACGAACATTACCGCAATTAAAAAGACAATTATTTATCAGCTACATAAATATCAGATGAGAAAGGACATCCACTACGGGACTTTGTAGCATTCACAGAGTTTTGTGCTTTGTGCATATAGCTATCCTGTTCTGCAGGTAAAAGGCAGTTTTGGAAAAGATTACACTCACTGATGCATAGATGATTTGTGTAAAAAAAGGTTTCAAAAGTTAAGTCTCAACCACTAATACTAGTAAAATAAAAATGGCCTTCTGAAATGCCAGCTGTCAGCAAGAGGCAGAACAGATACAGATTCATTTTAATTATTTTAATATGATGTGACTGGGTTTAATGAGGCATTAATGCTTTAGGAAAGGTAGAAACAGTATTATAATATATAATTAACTAAGAACTTTAATATCCATGGTGCAGTTATTCAATATTAACGTTTGTTATGTAGCAGGGGAAATAAATTCATAGCTATGGATTTCTGTCTTGGTAAGAGTCCTGTGGCCTCTGACCACATCTATGTTTTATTTGTCCTCTCTGCATAAATCTACAATATTAATTTTTTTTTTTTTAATCCGCATATTGCCTTACTGTTTAACACTCAGTGATTTGATGTGGACTGGCAGTTCAGCTTAACACAAAGCTGGAAACAACCTGGAAAGTAAATTATACCAAAAAACATGACACATAAACCAGCTCAGTTCCTGTTGGGACATGGCACTAACTCAACCATATTCAGTTTTCAAACACGTAAATATTACATGACTTAGTCAGAAAGAAGAGCTTTACCGAACTGATGTGTTTCCTGCCCTAAGGAGGAATAGTTTGCCATTATACTTCTGATAGAAGAATTTCACCTATGTGTCCTTGAAATGGTGACAGTAATACTTTTAACCACAAATAAACACCAGAATGTGGTATTAACTGTTAATTACCTAAGCATTACTCACTTATAGCACTATTCTCAAATAACTGTTAACGGATAGCATAATTCTCAAATTCAAACATCTGAAACCACTATAAAACTATATCCAGCTCCTACTATGCTTTATACAATTCATGTCAAATGAAAAGTTTATTTATTTAGCTTCTAGCTCTCAAGGGCATGAGGGCATGACACTGAGCAGACATCAAAATTGTTACAGAACAACCATGGAGAGCTTCCCTTTACCCACAGCCCCGCACACCTTATCACAGAAGTGCAATTCATATGCTCACTGACTTGACAACATTTGAGTTGCTAAAATGGTTTGGCTAGAACATGTCTACCAACAGGTGATAACGCTAGTGTGTCAATACTGCAATCCGATTTCATGTGGTATATTATAATTCAATGTTTTGTGCTAATAATTTGAAGCTACAAGGAGCAAACTGTGCCTATGAAGTGTACATATATTACAGGAGATTCACAATCACTTTTACATACATTTTCTCAGTCATCTCAGGAGGTATTTTGCATCATTCCAGACATATGGCTTTCCCTGCCCCAGTCTTGCCTACACTTAGAAGGTCAGATCAATGAGTGAGCAGACGGAATGTACTGAGGACAAGTGCGGAGAAGCATTCACATAGTGATTCTCCAGTGTTGTGTCAAGAATAAGGATCTTCAGAATTAATTTCTCCAAAATCCATAAATTACCTGAAATCTCCAGAAGACAGGAAAGCTTAAAACAGTGCAAGAATTACAGCGCAACCTCAACTCGTTTTGTTGTCAATAATGAGAAAAAATCCTGTAATTAAGACAATATAATTTTTGTTTCAAATGTATCAGCAGAAAGAGCTAATTTTTGTTGCTCAGATTTCCAAATGCATTCTGAAAATGAAAAGGACTCAGAGGAGCAACAATAAGAACTTACAAACTTAGTTTTCATTTTATAGAAACCTTGTAAAATATAAGACTTTGATGAAATAGTGGAACTCTCTAGCTAAATTAGTTTCAAGATTGGGAGACTTTTTCAACTGTAGATACCAGAAGGATAATTTGCTTTACGTTTAAAAAGAAAAAAAAAAGGAAGACTTGGATCCTGCAGAAACTGAAGAGCTTGTCTGGAAAAGCTTTCTACTCATGATTGGTTAGTTAGAGGATTGTATAAAGCTTGGAAAGACTGAACGCATGGAGCAGGAAGAATTATAATACATTTTTATGACAAATTCAGCTTTTCCATTGTATATAAATATGGCATATGTAAGTATGACTTTTCTTTGCTCTTGTTTGAGCAAACTGCTCTTACACTGCATTAGTGTTTTGATCACAGTGTACTTATTACAAAATAAAAAACACACTTGCCCATAACAACTACAGCTATCATAATATCCTAAAGAATACTACTATATTATTACTTTATATAATTTTATTGTAGAAGTTTTCTTACAATATGTGATGTTATTCTAAACACTCCCTGTATTTTTTAATCCCCTAAAACACATGCAAGTTATTAAGCCTGCTAAGTTTTCTGAAATAACACAACTTGAGATCAACATAAAGATTAACAGTTTTCACCAAACTTTTGACTGAGTCTGACTTAAAAAAATATATATATATATTTTAATGTTGAAAGTACTCCTACTAATATGAAGATACAGCAAGAAAATTCACAAGTACTTGTGAGACAGGAATCCTACGCAGAAACTGTAAGGATCATCTCAGTGATCCATCTTGCTCTGTATCCTGCTTTTAGTTTGTACCAAATATTAGAGGAATGAGAAATATGCTCTATACTGTTATGAATCAACTCAGCACCATCTGAAGGTTCTACTTCATCTTCTTTTAGTGGCCATCTTACACTGTGAAATAGGAAAGTATTGTTTAGTATGGATACTCTACATGTATAGACATCTATCTAATGTAAAGATGCTGGCACTTGCTGTCAGCACTTTCTCAACAGTCTTGATTTAGAAGAAATATATCACTAACAAATATAAAAATGATTAACGACGTTTAGAGCAGCTCTACAGTAAGATAAAATATTTCAGTTCAGCGCTGCAAAAAATGACTGGTGGTGTTTTAAAATACTTAAACTGTAAGAACTTGAAACGGCAAAAAATAATACCTTAATAAGTTAGCAATTACTGTAAATCTGAAGATAGGTTCCTCTTTTAAGACAACAGCTAAAACGCCAGGTGGAGACTGTCAGTGCTTTACTAAATCCAAAAGATTCTATGGCTGGTCCTCAATGGAGCAGATGGCCATGGATGCACAGGCGGAGCCAGACAGGGATTTTGTTCTTTCATCTGCTCAACCCATTTTCATTCTGGTTTTGACTGCACTGGCAATCTCAGCCTGCAGTACATCCCTGTACTCCATGTGCCCATTGATTCCAGACAGACTGCTCAAAAGCAAACAGAAAACAGGGACCACCTCGGCAATCCCACTAAAAAACACAAGAAGTTGTCTTATCCCTTAGACTTTGGGGTTTTTTGCCTTTGTCTGTCTTCTTCTAGATGAATATTTAGGAAATACACAGTGTGTTCTCATTTCAAAAAATGTAGAAAAGGTAAAAAAAATACTTTTTGACTCTGATGAATTAAATGACAGACAATAAAAGATCAGTGAAATTCACTACTAGTATTATCTTTCCACTTTAGCTTTTCAAGAAATGTTTATTGATAAATGTAACTGTTAAAACACCAGAAGAATTTAGAGGTATTTTACAGCCAAGATGTATAATTTTATATTCATGGACAGGACAACTCCAGTCCCAAGGAGTAAACCACTGTTGGAAGTGGAACGATTCTAGAAAGGTATTTAACAATGGAGCATTACTCACAAGTGACTGATGAAAATGAGGAGTAATAAGGAAAAAAAAAAAAAAAAAAAAAAGAAGAAACATTAGTTTAACTGGAATCCAGTTACAAAGACCTACAGAAGAGATCTTCTGACTAAAATATAAATAAATCACTAAACATAAGTGAGCTAAGATGACCACAGAATCATCGTATGGTTGAGGTTGGAAAGGACCTCTGGAAATAGTCTGGTCTAACCCACTACTGAAGCAGGGACACCTAGAGCAGGCTGCCCAGGATTGTATGTAATAGACCAACAACTGAGAAGGCTTACAAAGATGTCTTTGCATATTTCCAAGGAAAAATTTTGCCCTGCTTTCCATTATCCAGGCTGAGTAATATTTACCTATTTTTATATTCCCATATACACACATGAAAGTAAATATAAAATAAACAGTTCTGCTTAGCTCCTCTGCAGTGATTCTGCAAAAACAAAGTAGTATATGGTCCACGACAGAGAAGGCTCAGGAGAGAAAGGATAATGTGATAATGTGATAACTAATCTACAAATATTTGATGGAGAGCTCATTCCAAATGAAAACAAGATACGTGTATTACAGGTAAAGAGAAGCTTAAAGACACAATTTGTAAGGTTACAACATAGATCAACTACCAGAAGAAACTGCCTTATAACAAATCATTGAACGGAAGAACAGTCTCCAGAGAACAATAAATAATCCATTACTTCT